ACACATGGGAATATAAAAGATGGAGAGGGTCCAAGGAACACTTGGCCACGGACTCCATCAGAGAGTCATTGACAGACGCTGAGGAAAGTTTCGAGGTCGGATACATAGTGCAGAAGGATGGATTTGGGTAACGACCTCCAGGGTTCTGCGAGCATGCCCAGGTGCCCAGAAAGAAGATTCTGCTGGTAAATCACACACTACATTTGACTACTGGAAAAGGTTATTTAATACTCTGGCAACTGTCAGGAATGGGAAAATGGAATGCAGTCTACTATATCTCTGTGTTGGTGTGAACTTTTGTGCATCTTGGGTCTGCCTAAAGTCTTGACAAGGGATCTACCCGAGGTCACGATGCCAGGAAATGCTAAGGTTGTGCCTTTGACCTTGGGCCATTTGATTCTGAGTCAATGCTCTTTCTATTTCTATAGGTAATATGGCATGGCTTTTAGGCAGGAATCTGCTGACAAACGTCATCTGCAGACAGTCGGTGTCTAGCAGCAGGGAAGCACAGCCTCCCTTTGTCTCTTCTGTCTCATGGAACCTTGGGCCCATATTCACTCAGGAAGGTTAAATCACAAGAAGACATGCGAAAGGACTTGCATGCCCATGGCCATAAGTTACGGCAGTGGTAAAGGCTCAGGCTATCCTGATGCATTAAAACTCAGATTGTCTGGCCACTTGGGTGTGACCTCCTGGAGACCTGAAGACAGATGGCTCTTCTGTCACAGAGACGAGAAATTGCACTTGCCGAGTGAGGCTTGGAGGCAGGAGTTGCAGATAAAGAGAAGAGTGTGCAGAGCTCTGGTTAACTGTAGCTACCCTGGAGTGGAAGACCATGCTTTGAAGGGTCCGGTTTGCAATCGACACTAGGAATAGCTAAACTATACAAATGACTGTTAGAGCTGAGACTGCTTTTCTTCTGCCATAGAATTTTCAAAGGGGTCATCGCAACCACTTTGCTGGGCGACCCTGGCAGTTGAGTGGAGGCCCAGGCTAAGGTCTAGTTTCTTGGGCGTGAGCAGGAGCTTGGCAGATTTCTACTCTTTGCCTGCACAGCTCTCTCACTGTTTTCCTGGAATAAGAAGGGGGTGGGGGATCCAATAAGCTTTACTTACATAGAAGAGATGCAATCTACAGTGTGTGGCAGGGTAACATGAGAGACCAGAGGGCCCCTGCCTGACCACGTCCAAGGCAGGAGGAGGGGCCTATTTGGGTGCATCTTCTATAACTGAGTCCACTTCTTGTGACTTTGTATACATCTACGTTGTTTATTGGTGACTGTTCATGGACAGATCACATAGAATTTAGGTAGCTATTTCTGTATTTTGATACCCTTCTCCCAAATTGACTTCCTGTTTCCCCAAGCCACATATCTAAGTGTCCTCAAACATGGTCAAACAGAAGCACTCATTTTGTCAGGGGGGCTTATTTTCAGTCCCAAGTTTCTACAAAGACAAGCACTTCACAAGTTTCCCATAAAACCAGCACTCTTTGCAAATTTCCCTCACTCGCTTTTATGAACCACAGCACTAGTTGATCACAGAGAAGGGATTTTATAGGTCTGTGTAAGGTTAGCTAAATATAAGGGCTGATGCATTATGTAGTGCTCCTGTGATAATCTGTGAGCATTTTTCCTCAAGTGGATAATCCAGATGGGCTCCACTCCAGGTGAAGGTCCAGATAACACGAGTGTATTTTGGGGGCACTAAATGCATCACGAATAAACCACAGTTTTGTTTTGTTCAGAACCCACAGAGCCCAAGTATTCTAGCTGATTAAATGCATCTCTGAAACATGAGACAGATGAGCTAACAATGTACACGTCTGGCCTCTGGGCTTGGCTGCACGTGAACGGAATCTGGCGATGGATTGGGTCTTGAGACCCAATTGATACTCAAATTGCTTCTCAGACACCCCAATTTCCATCTCCCAGTTAGGTGTTCCCTCTTATAATGCTCTTACCTCAAACTCTTAATTATAAAGATTTAAAATTCTTCAAGATTTAGCTCTATAATTTTTCCCGCTTTGAGCCATGCTTCAACACGTAAAGTATACAATTCAGAAAGCAATAGAGTTGCCAACAATTGCTCTGTCTTTCATACTCACCCACAGTCATGGCCTCTGTGCTTTAAGTTTTCCTTAGAGCCCTGCATTACTGATCTCTAACAGATCCTAATAAGTAGATTTGAAATAAGGATAACTAACAGATATGGATCAGACAGCTTTTCAGTGGTGTATAAATTGTCAGTGAAGCACAGAACAGAAATCGGTCGCCCTGACGATTAAAGACAATGGAAGATGAAGAATAAACCGGCCTTTTTTGCAGGACTTTCAAAGGGGAAGTGATTTTGAATGCTCAGCCTTGTTATCCAGAGAACACGTGACACTGATCCCAGAGGCGCCTGTTTCATTTCACAACTGTGTAATTTGGAAATGATTAAGAACAGCTCTTTCTCAACGTTTTTTAATCACGGACCAACTAAAAACATCACATTGATTTCTCCAGCCCATCCTTCTTGAATGTGCTCATATGAAACACATTTTAAATCAGCTCAGCTCTTGAGCCATTAAGTCCTGTCAACACGCTCTTCTTCTTATGAAAATAGAAGACGATTACACTTTTTGAACTCTACTACCAACAAAGTCAAAACCAAAAGAAACCCCCCCAAAAAAACCTTCAACTGAAAAGCACACACTACCATTCAGTAAATAGCTTGAGAGTTTCTCAAAGCTGCTTTCCCACGGTGCACATAGCATGAGCAGGTGTACTGCAGAGGAGTGTACTCACATGCCCTGGATGTGAGTACAGGTGCATTGTGGGAGGTAGTATCTCCTGGAGCTTCTGCAGCTTCATTCAATTTAAGGATGATCATCATGCCTGCCTATCTGTTTAACAGGATGACCTTTTCTGAGGGAGATTTCACTTGGCTTCTGGAGGAATTCAAGGAGGAGCTAAGCAAAGACCGCGGAGGTTAGAATTTGAGACAAAACAGAAAAGAGCCCCCAAACATTTGCTCATCTTAAAAAGGAAAATATTTAGAAATGTTTATCACCAATCTGAAATAGTCCTGGACCTCATAGTTTTATGATCTATGTGTCAAATTAAGCACAGCATGTCTAGAAGCACAGGAAAACTTGAAAAGAGAAGTGCACAGGTTGCATTTTGTAATCTTAAAGTGCTTCAGGGGAGAAGGAGGGTCCTTGGGGAAATCTAAAAATAGACTAAAACATATGACAGTCAGGTATTAAATATTTTATTTTCCCCCACAAGCTTAGTGTTGACACAATGTGCCTCTGGCAAGAGGGTTCTTATGCCTTATGATGTGAGACACTGCGTGTGACCTCACAGCCCTGCTCAAAAGGCTGCTGGTCTGCAGGGCCTGGTGGTATGGGTGGTATGGGAGCTGGCACAGTGGTGCTAGCTCTTTCAGCAGAAGGATCCTAGGCTGGTGGATGGAGGCCACCCACCTTGACCAGCCCTGTTTCTCCTTTCTGAATCCTGGTCATCTTCCTTGTACATTTATGATCTTTTACATCTCTTCTGATTAGTGAGATTTAAACTCTCCACACATGCTCAACTAGGGATATCAAAAACAAAAGTCCTAAGAGTGTCCACCTGAACCCCAAACCCCAAAGAAAATTTAAGTATCCTTTCTTCAGTGAAACTAAGCTTTGAACTACAGAGCCAAAATCTCCAGAAATGGGACTTTCCAGGTTTTAGCTTTTGACCACATTGAGAGTGAAGATACTTTTAAATGCAAAATATGGCTTCCTGGTCGCCATTTTGAGCATACAGAATGAATGCCAAGCTTTCCGAGATCCATGCAGGTCAGGAAGACCTTCATCTCCATCCTCTGGGCAGCCTCTTCAGGGCCTAGGAACACAGAGCAGCTACTGTGGCTTGCCTTTTTTTTTCCCCAGCTGCCATATTTTTGACTTCCTCGATTTTTCCTGAGTTATTTGTTCCCCTGACCCGTGTCCTCTCTGCAAGTACTTGTTCAAAACTGTTGATGTTTTTTAAATTATATTTTTTTCCAAATTTCCTAAATGTATGACTCTTTGGTCTACTACAACTTTTTCTTTCTATAAAGTGAATGAGTAATGAGTATTATTGAAAATATTGTATCAGGCGTTCAAAATAGCTAGAAGGATGAATCTTGAATTTTTTTCAACATGAAGAATGATACATGCTTAAGGGCATGGTTGAGGTAAATATCTGGAGTGGACCAATAACCAACAGATATACTTATTGAGCCTGCATGCTGTCCTCTATAAATACGTATATTTATTATGTGTTGATTAAAAATGAAGGATAAGGAGCATGGAGAGGTGTCTCGCTAGTTCAGATCACTCCTTAATCTTCTAGGAACTCCAGTTCCTTTCTCAGCAACCCCATGGTGACTCACTAATTCTACAATTCTACATGGTGACTCCTCTAATTCTACATCTGGTAGACTGGCTGTCCTCAGCCCTCTGTATTTTCCGGCATCCACATACATACCCTCAGGCACATACATGTAAAATAAATAAACACGTGAATAAGTAAATGAGCATTTTAAGATAAAAGAAATCACAGGGCTAAGAAGATGGCTCAACAGGCAAAGGTGTTTACTGTGCAAGTCTGGAACCTACGTAAAGGTGGAAGGAGAGAACTAACTTTACAAGTTGTTCTCTGATCTCCACATGTACACTGTATGCCCCTATAATCTTTCAAACACATATACACAAAAAATTATAGGCTCTCAGGGAATCAAAAGAGATGATTTGGTGTAAGATTCTACGAGTTCAGATCTGGCTAGTCAAGAAGATGTGAGCCTTCTAGGTATCTTGGCATAAGGATAAAAACTTTTTTCTTACAATGCCGACTTTCTTGTTTCAGCTAAGTGTTTTTTGACAAACACCACCTATATATGGGATACTTCTTACTATGGTCATATTTGGCATCTTTAAGCCCCAAACCTATGAGCCCAGGAGCCTCAGGGAAGAAAATGCAGTCTTACCTTCTTGTACAGACTCCTCAGATCTCGATACTGCCACATGCTGTTTAGGACCTGAGAAGCAGCCTTGACCACCTTCGGAGAGTGCCTGATAAAGAGAAGACAGGAAATGCAGATGATGATGGCATCTTGGTTTGGAACCACACTGTCTTGTCAGGAAACATCAAAGTTAGCACCCTCCCAGCTTTTCTCTTCAGTAAAATATTGTGTCCCTAATTCCCATTCTCCTCAGCAACATGCCTGGAACGGTAACAGGCAGGAAGGCACTAGAGTTTGGCAAAGAATTTCCAAAACACAAACACAAAAACAGTGACATTTAGGGAGAAAGCAGTATAGTCTCTGTGATGGTTTGCATATGCTTGTCCCAGGAAGTGGTATTATTAGGTATGACCTTGTTGGAGTAGGTGTGTCACTGTGGGTATGGGCTTTAATACCCTAATCCTAGCTGCCTGGAAGCTAGTCTCCTACTAGCAGCCTCCAAATGAAGATGTAGAACTTTCAGCTCCTCTTGTACCATGCCTGCCTGGACACTGCCATGTTCCTGCCTTGATGATATCAGACTGAACCTCTGAACCTGTAAGCCAGCCCCAATGAAATGTTGTTCTTTATAAGGGTTGCCTTGGTCTTGGTGTCTGTTCACAGCAGTAAAACACTGACTAAGACAGTCTCTATAAAATGGAGGAGAAATATGGGGTTAGGGGAAAGTGATTCAGTAGGACTGGCTGGATTTAGAAATTTTTTTGCAGCAGTGTTGAACCACAAATGAGTAATAAGAAGAGCAGAGACGCCCATTTCCCCAGGACACAAGTGCGGTGGGGCTGGTATGCTGACCTAGGAGAACACAAGCAGTTACTCCTTGTTGCCTGTTGATGCCAAATATAGCACACACACACACACACACACACACACACACACACACACACACACCCTATAGATACCTAAAAATGTCCATGAACAAGAATCTATGAAGACCTGTATGCTCAAGTCCTTTGGATCAAGGTCACAGGAACTTATAGTTTATTAATCTTTTCTCAGGTTGCCTTCGCAAATGTTACGAAGGCACCACCTCTTACTTTTTGTTTCAATGCCAATCTGTACATCAAAACAGCGACTAGGTCAGTACAGCCCTATTGATTCAATTCCCATCAGATTCTTGAAAGTCTCTTTGACAGGTGCTTCTTAGAGAAGTTTTGAACTACTTGTAGATCTTAGTTTTAACAGACTAGTTTTACCACCAACTGCCTGATTCCGGTGTGTGGTGAGAAGTTTGGTTTCTTTGAAAAACACAGAAATATTATGGGAATGTTTTTATTTTAATCCCAGGTATGGGATCTGGAGGTGCTTCAGATTGTCTGTAGCAGTTGACTATGATTTGCCTCGTGCTCTAGCAGAAACATGATTTTGCCAGCTGCAGATAGTTTCTGTGACTGTGTGATGTTTGGAATACTGGAAAATTTTCAGAGGATAGATAAATGCTAGGACCCCAAGAGGTGGAGTAGGTTGTTGGTTGGTTGCTGTTGGCCATGATTTGTTAAATAGTCATGCACAAAGAAGAAACAAGAAGAAATTACACATCTCGACTACAGAGATCAAACTTGCCCTAAGGAACTCAACAACTCTAATCAGCAGGAAGTAGTCTAAGGATAACATTGCCCCCTTTCCACTCTAACCTATTTTTCCCTTCTATCTAGTGTTAGGGGTTGAAAGGGTAAAACAAAAGGGGTGGAGAAGAAGAATAAAAGCCCCACAAAGTAGCAGATGTTGGCTACACTAGTGGCTACCATTGATGTAGTCTACCTTACAGGCCAGTTTGTTTATTCCTGTTAGGAGTGAGATAGTTTAGGGGGCCATACACACCTTTGTCACACTTACTCAATTAACTGTCACTCTAGCAAGAAGAAAGAAATGCTGTGTTTCTGTACATATAATGCTGTATTACACAAAACAAGAAGGAGAGGGTAAGATCTGGACTGTAGGCTTGTGGTCCATGTGACTCCTGGTGTTGGTCAAGATGTTATAACTAATGAAGCTTTCAAAGCAATGAATAGTCTAGAAGCTATTATGGATGACAGAGCCACTGAAAACAATCAGTCAGAGGGCCAAGATACCTGCTATTAGACAGTGTCTTCTAGTTAAGACAGGGATGCTGTATTCAGGAAACCTTGACAATATGGCTACCTAAACTAGATCTACGAAACAAGAACATTAAGTGACAAGCCAATGTGAATGGGTGTGCATGGGGGGGGCTCTCATAAGGTCCCACTCCTAGATGACAATCTTTAGGCAATTAATGGCTGCTGAGAGAGAAAGAATCAGTAGTTTTCTTCAGATACAGGTCTCCTGGTAAGTCATCCAATCTCAAGTGGTCAGTCCTAAACACATGCACATAAGAGCAACACTAAATGTACTCATTTGATTACAGTCTCTCTATTTCTACCTCTCAACAAAACAAATTATAAGGGTCTTAAGAGATCATGAATTTTAGAGGCAGTTGAGGGATTGGGAGTTGGGGATAGGAAAGAGAGGGTGGAATTGTTTAATAGAACTCATATGAAATCTCAAAAAATAAATACAAATACATATTTTAAATAAAACAGCCTTTGAAATTCAAAGGAAGCAGATAGTAGATGGGTTAGGATGGGCTTGGATTCGAGAGCCAAATAAATGAACATTTTGTGGACAGGCATTTTTTGATGAGATCATGGGCTATCAGGACATGATGCACAGTCTAGCTGCTGTTTTTCTGGCTCTTCATGTTTGTAATTTATGTGAGCTAAGATTAAAGCTTCTTCATCCATTTACAGAAGAGCAGCAGTGGCAGCTATTTCTGAGAAAAAAAAATCCAATGTTGGCTGTATTATAACAAAAAAAATGAAGTCTTATAAGTTTGATTTTTCTCCATAATACATTAGTTACAAGGTAACATTTATTTTATTTCACTAAGATGAATGGATGTTTAATTATTCTATAATTTATGATAATATCACACCCCCTGCTATAGTCTTAAATCCCTGTAACTTAGAGAAATTTAGACCTTTTCATGGATATAGATTAGTGTTCCTTTTGGCCTTATGTAATCAAGGTGAAACAAAGACTAAATGCTCTTGTATTTACCTCTGCTGCTTGGATATTTTTCTCTGGCAATGCCCAGGCAACCATGGAAGAACATGATTAAAATTCAGGTAGTGGTGGTGTGGCTGACACATTTAGCATGAAAAATTCCTCCGACACAGTGTAAATTTTTTTTTTGTTTCAACTTCTTGCTTAGTTACAAAACAGACACTGTGAATGTGTAATGAAAATCAGGTTAGCCTCTCAATTAGAATGCCAGCATGGCGTGGCATTGTCATAACGTGTGAAGGTCAAAAGGAATGCTGCCCTTTTCTTAGTCTGTTTGTTTGATCCTTCCACTAGACTCCTGCCATAAAGGTATCTACTTGAAGCTCTGTAACTACCAACTGAAGGACCAGAACAACTGAGTGTTGCCAACTGCTTACAACCCGAGCCTGAGCCTTGGTACACGGGTCTCTACTGACAAGCAACAGTTCAGTCTGTAAATAGCTTCTCTGCCTTATGATAAAATACAACATCAGATTCAACATGACCGTTGAGATCATGAAAATTCGTATGTGAAACAGATGGACATGATAGAATTCCGTAATGTGTGTTTGAAAATGATGCAAAAGCAGTAAGCCATCAGATTTCAAAACTGTGGAATTGGCTCCTGTAAGTGTTGGTGGCAATCCCACAGTGTTTTGAGCTTCGTGGGAGCTATCAGGGGTGGCTGAAGATGTCTGTCTGATGGTACGATTTCTCATGGCTATACCGATCAGTCACAGAGGAGCAGAACGTAGCATCATTACCTTGACCGCCTTGGCAATACCATCCAGTGTGGATCCAATACACAATGGTACCTTACTTGTCTGCTGTGTTCATATCACTACATAGCTAGGCTTGCACGAACTTAGACGCAAATGCTTTACTACATAGTTAGGCTTGCACGAACTTAGATGCAAACGCACAGTCATTTAAGGACCACAGCTAGGCATATTTGTGTTCGTTTTGTGGTTTTTGTTTGTTTGCTTTTTGTCATCTTTGTTCCCATGCTTTTTCAAAGAGAAATCGTATTTGGACTGAACTGAGTTCTAGAAGCAAGTTTTTAAAGAACAGTTTAGTGTGGGCATATTTGTGACGGTTCTTTAAGTTAAAAGGAACTAACTGGTATTCCTACCATGTTATTGATCCACAGTTCAAAAGTTCTGTTCCTGAAAACCTTTTCTGTTTTAATAAAGCATGCCTAGAGGTTCACATGGGTCTTAATGGTAGCCGTCACCATTGGACTGATCCAGCAAGAATTGTGAGTTTTATGCTATGACTCAGAGCAATGTCTTAAACTACTTTTGTTTAGAAAGGAGTGAAAAGCCACGATAAACTAAAATGTAGGTAGGACATGAGAAGTTATAAAGGCCTTATTTACATCTTCTAATTGTCAGTATATTCATACACAAGAGAGATAAAGCACATGGGGAAATGGCTCACGAAGTGTGACCACTACAACGGAAAGAGACCCAATTCAGCTCATTTAACACCTGTCAGTAAAGTCACAACTCCAGGCTGTGGACAACGAAAAAAGAGATAAAGGAACAGTCTGATAAAACAAGTGGCTATCGGTGAAGAAATGTTTAGTCAGATTAAAGGACACTCATTAGATCATCTACAGATAAAACAAAACACCTGAACATTTATGGCAATTGAGCCTGGACCACATCTTGCAGGGCAATTTTCTGAGTTACCAATGCGGAGTTGCCTTATTTCATAGATTATTTCTCCAAAACCACTTTTTAAATAGTTTCATGAAATAGTTTTCTTTGGCCATAAAACTGACCAGAGCATTTCTTTCTCCTCAAGGCTAAGTGAGTGTCACTTACTGCTGAGAGATACTCACACAACTGAAGGGACAAGACAGATGGCCAGCCACCCAGCCCCAGCTTTCTTGTCTTTAAATTCAGAGAAAGTTCTTTAACCTTGAGATGTCCCATAAATACAGGCAAACGGAGTGTTCCTGTCAACTGTGGTTTTATTGTCCCGTTAAGCATATATATGCTTAAAACAAAAACAGTAACAACAACTATATATTGGCCTCACAACTCTCAAGGCAAGTAAGAACTTCTCTTTCTAGAGAGTCACAAGTCTGGTGAAGCAATAGGAAGAAGGCTATGTGGAGTCCTGTAGGAGGAGCTAAGGTGGGAGGAGTAAGGAGAGGAAGAGGAAGAGGAAAAGTAAGGAGAAGAGGAAAAGGAAGAGGAGGAGCTAGAGAGGGCAGAGATGTAGGAGGATGAAGAACCTCATAGGTATGGAGAGCAGTCTCGGGTAACAACTTATATTTAGGTTAGCTAATTGGGAAACAACTCTAATTGTGTGGGCATATTGTTATTGAGCATGACCAAACATATAAAGCCTTTGATTAATATTTAAGCATTAGAGTCTCATTTCCTACAGGGTCCACATGGAAGGCTGGATGGTCTGGGAAATGCCCAGCCTTGCAGAGACAGTGTGGAAGATTGACAGAGCCATCTCTCATGCTGGCAGGGTCGTTGATTTTGGCTGTTTCTAGCTGTGGTGCACGTGGCCTCTGGCCATGGAACATGGCGCCTGAGTTAGGCAGAGCTGCCGCAGCTTAGATGGTGGACTTGACTAGTGGCTGTTTTAAATTATTACCTCAACAGAGTCTTGACTGTGAACTGTGGTGTTTTATTTTATTGTCACGTTCTACACAGAACATCATGAGTTGTATGTAATTCAAGCTCCATATCTATATTGCATCATTGCCTGAATCCGATGGGCTTCACTCCTTGACATAAGAACACATTCAAATCTTACACTGTACTGCTGAATGAACCTATTTAAGGGTCTCGGGATAATTAAACATCTCTCCCCAAACTTTTATAACACATTGCCAATAACCTGAGTTAAATGAAATAAGGAGATGAAATTTCCAGAGAGTCTCAAAGAGTGTTTCTTACCATCTTCAATAACAAAAGAAAAATTTAATTATTTAGCACTTGGATGTAAAGGAATGGGAGAGAGGGGAAGAAAAGACAAAAAGTAGTCAGGGCCTTGATAATAAAATGTTCGTGTATTTAATCTTCTTTGATTACTCGGAGGGACTTCCAGAAGATGAAATTTAATTAACAGCTGAGAAGGTTTCTGTAAAGGTTGATATGCTAGCTGATACATTAGCACTCTGGGAGATGAAGGTTGTTTTTTTTTTGTTTTGTTTTCTTTTGTTTTTGTTTGTTTGCACACAGTAAGGTACCCTTGTTTCTTAAATCACAGGAAACATTCTCGCTATGGGGGTGGTGCAGTGGCTTTTATACCAAGTCTCAAGTCTTGCCTCTTTTTGCTCCATTTGGCTGAAAGCCCTACTTGACCACTCTCCTCCCACTTATCTCCTCATATTTGATGATCACCAGTTCTGGGAACGGTCTCACGATGGGCCTGCCTTCAGTTTTAGGTTGGAAAGTGAGGGCGTAGTGACTGGTTAAATTTAAGAACCTGCCAAGGATCCCGCAGCAAGTAGAGGAAGAGACTAGGTTAGATTTTAGTTCTTTCTGACTCCATAGGAAAGATGCAGAGAGAAGACTCCTGAACCAAAGGATGGGGGTCCACTGAATCAGGGACTGGCAACCACAAAGGAGCTTCAGTGGCAGGGAGATAACGTCATGCACGTATCCGGGCTAAACTGGTTGGATGCCCTGCACAGAAGGAACTAGAATTGCAGACTGGGACATGAAGTCTACCTTAGCAATGCAAGGATAGTATTGGCCCCGACTTACTCCAATTGGAAGACAATGTCATCTCCTGACTTACTCCAATGTGAAGACACTGTTGCTCCTGACTTACTCCAATGGGAAGACAATGTTGCTCCTGACTTACTCCAATGGGAAGACAATGTTGCTCCTGACTTACTCCAATGCAAAGACAATGTCACTCTCACCCCCAACCCCACACTGACCCAGACTTACTTATCTCCTTTGCTTTTGGAGATGCCGACCAACTTCTCGATGCCGCCAGCATCCCGTAAGGCCTTGGCATTCTCCATGTTCTTGGTGATCACCTCATGCAGGGTGCAGCATACGGCTGTCACGGTGTCATCTGACATGGCCTTGCTCCCCGAATTGTTGCTATTGTTCCCACCAGGAAGCCGGTGGACCAGGTCTCGCATGGCATATTTGCCTTTAGAAAAGAAAAGAAGGGAACAGTTTAGGAAAGGCCAAGGTGGAGGAAGATGGACAATGGAGAGACAGGAACAGAGGAGGGAAAGAGGATGCAAGCAGACACTGGATGCTCATCTGTGCAAGGTATTTCACATACACATATAGAAGGAACAGTAAAGGTGTCCACCAATGGCCACTGGGTCCAGGACAACCTCAGCAACACACTGTGGATGCCCAGGTCCTAGAGAAAGCATGCCTCTCACTTCACACTTTTAATCATGTCTTGACTACTTTTCTTACTTGATTCAGTGTAAATGCTGTGTGAAAACAGTTGATGCCTTATTATTAAAAAAAATCTGCATGTGATCAACATGCATGAATATTAATCAAATAATTTTGATTTGTCGTTGGCTGACTTCTGCCTGAGAAACCCATAGTACAGAGAACCAATTGTATTTGCTCATGGCAAAGGACTGGGATCTGGGACCCTGCAGATCGACGATTGAGTCTCTTTAGGAGTAACTTTATGCCTTTCAGTCTTTAAAGCAAGAACAATAGGATACCCACTGTTTAAAACCATTTTAAAGATTAGATGAGAAAACCCACAGCGAGCATTTATTCCATGATCAACAAAGGCCACAGCCTCAACAGATGTCACGCTGGTATCCACAGAAGTAAGTAAAATGTATGGTGACTGACATAGCCAAGACAGATTGGTCTGTGTGATAATTTATTCATTTATTTATTCACTTTACAACTCAATATTAGCCCTTTCTCTCTTGCCAGTTCTCCCTTAAGCAAGTCCTCCCCCATTCCATTGGAGGTCACCCCTCCACCGCTTCCCCCCATATATCCAGTCTTTGAGGGACTACACACATCCTCTCTCACTGAGACCAGACAAAGCTGTCTATTTAGGGACCTCTGGGATCCACAGGCAGGCAGGCACTGGCTCAGGGACAGCCCCTTCTCCTGTTGTGAGAGGATGAGAGCAGACACCCACCCAGAAAACCTTTGACACAAAACGTGTGCTGCCTGCAAGATGTGCAGGGACAAAGAGAGAACAGAGACTGAGGGAATGACCAATGGATGACTGCCCCATGGGCAAGAACCAGTTCCTGCCACTACTAATGATACTCTGTTATGCTTGCAGACAGGAACCTAGCATAACTGTCTTCTGAGAGGTTCTACCCAGTAGCAAGTGGAAACAAATGCGGAGACTCACACCCAAACATTAGATGGAGCTCTGAGAGCCTTAAGGAAGAGTTAAGAGAAGGATTGAGGGACCTAAAGTGGACAGGGACCCCACAGGAAGACCAACAGAGTCAACAAACCTGGACCCTTGGGGTCTCACAGAGACTGAACCACCAACCAAAGAGGGAGCACAGGCTGGGCCTAGACCCCCTACACATGTGTAGCAGATGAGCAGCTTGGTTGTCATGTGGGCCTCCCAACAACTGGGAGCTGTATAATTTAACAGCAGTTGGATCACAAGCAGAGAAGTCGACCTTGACAAACAGTCCTGTGCACTGTGGTAACCTTGTTCTCTTCTATGAGCTTTTAGTGCATGGATCTGTAACACAGCATTTATTAATCTGGCATGTTTTTCTTTGTGTGAAATATAAAATAAAACCCAGCTCGGCTTCCTTAATTCACTTTATCATCACTAATCTTGCTTCTCCCAATGATCAAGGTACTTACAGTGACAGATTTATGGAGTGTTTTTAGACTACAAAGCACTTTAGACATTACCAACAGGCCAGCAAGACAATTAATGTGTCCCACCCGCTGCTTCCAATTCTGTTCCTTTAATTTACTTCTGGAGGTAAACAAGAGCCTGCAGCAAAGTTGGCTGTCCCTAAATTTCAGGGGTCTGAAATCGGCAAACGTTCCAAGTTATGTCACTTACACACCTCCCATCCCCCAACTAGACATATGTAGCCAAATAGTTACATGGAATAATTTACCTGCAACCTGCCTCTAACCAATACCTTCTTCTGTTGACAAACTGTCTAGCAAGTGGCAACACAGGGGAGGAGAAAGAACCCCATGGGAATAGGCAATATCTTAGCTCCAGGCAGTAATAAATAAAACAGGGGGCTCTGTAATATGATATTTTGATATCTGCTCTTATCCTTATTTTAGTGGCTTATTTTAGCATAGACAGAAAGTGCTGATGTTTAAATTACAGAAATAGAAGAGTATCTGCATTCAGTTGATGACAGACGAGGAAGTGTCTGACAGAAGTGCTTTGATTCGAAACCCCGCCAAATGTGGCATATTTATTCTCTAATGGAGACATTCAAAGTGTTTGGGAGAGGGCACTTTGAATGTGGATAGTCCTTGGAGAAAATTGCTTGATATATTGATCATTAAATCAACTCAGCTCTGATGAAGAGTTTGCTGCCGTTGAGCTCAGCATGCCTGTGATTCTATCGTAAGCCACCGGAAGACAAATCTGTCAGCCACCGTGAGAAGATGGACATGTCCTTTCCTCCTGCCTCTGTACAGAATGTGATAGAGGGAGGGAGTTCTGACAACAGGATTGAGAGACACTTGAGTGATGCGGGATGTTTACACTTACATTGAGTGTGAAGACTGGTCTTGTGACCTCAATACTGGCAGGAGTTGAAAGCAAAAAATACTGAAAGAAGAGAACTACCTGCAGAATTTCTTAAGTTTTTTTTTTCTGTTTTGACTTAAAACAATCACAGGGACAAAGTTATAGCTTAGTTAGAAGAGTGCTTGCTTACCAGGAATGATGTAGGAAATCCTGGTTTGATCTCTAGCACTTGGAAGGCGGGGCCAGCAGGATTAAAAACTCAAGGTCATCCACCCTTGGATACATAGAAAGCCTGAAGGCAGCCTGGACTACTTGATACCTTGCCTCTAAGTATGAAATAAATAAATAAATAAACAAACTATATTGGCATTATATATGGTTTCTTCATAGCTTCCTGACTTATAAGGCCTATATAAGACACAACTGTTCTGTAATGGTCACAAGAAAGGGATATTACACCACTACAAGTCAGCTTTCCATTCAACTCTGTGTATCATGCCATGTGCCCAACATAAAAACGACCAGGAGTCACTGTTGCTGGAAACTCATCGGAACCATCTTGTTCCCAGCATGTAGCACACAGATACTTATTGGGCTGCTAGAGGTTCTTCTCAAGTTATCCAAGCCTACCTATACTTTTAACTAGCCAAGTGAAGAAATCAATCGAGTGTAACTACTCCCAGGTACAAGACCACTTGGGTGACTTTGGAAGTTACTTTAGGAACATAACACTCCTTTCAATGTCTTTGTTTCTGTGTTGAGAACAATTGACATCTTACATCTGAGTGGGACTACTATTAGCATGAGAAATTTGGACAGTAGGAAAGCTTTCCAGCTCTTTCTGGTGTTTGGAAACTCTGAGGCTAAGCAATGGGAGAAAGGGAAACAAGGTGCACAGAATAATGACAGCCACAAGTGACCCTCTGCCCTGGGCTTATAAGAGCAGTTTGGGGAAGATGAAAATTGGTTTGGTGTGAGGTGGTTGTGGAAGGCTTCTCACAGGAGGTGGACATTCAGTTAAGAATTGTCTGTAAACTGGGGGAGGGGCAAGATCAGGTTGGTATTTTATAAAGAACATTCTGTAACATTAAAAGGTCAATAAGATTAAAAGGGGAGAAACTTGGTCTTTTTTCTTAATCGGACTCTCTGACATGGGTCCCCGTAGAAACCTTCATCAGTATGACTCAAGGTGGCCTGTCTCTGACTGCTCCACACTCCGAAGCTGCTCGCACCCCCAGTGTTCCTGAATGCTAGGAAAAGCCATTCCTGTTACACAGTAAGGAGAACACTGGTCCTCTCCTCTCTTCAAACCCCAGCTAATCCTTAGGGTCCGTGAGGTCTGAGAAGTCCATCTTTGTGTCGGTAGCAATGGGATAAGCTAAGGCGTGAGTGGGTCAAGCTTACTTTCACAGTTAATAGTATCCAGGAGACGGGATTACTCATTTCTTCTCTCATTAGTGATAGAAACGGACAGAGACCTGTGGTTCTGGGTCAAGGGAGGGAGAGGGTGTGGCAGCAGATGGAGACTGTCCTTCTAGAAACCAGAGAGAAAACAGCTTGGAAGTTCTGTAGGGATCAGAGACCTACTGGGCACCTGCAGTGCAATTGCATGGACAGGCAGAGATGAACAGTTATGCCCTCTTGTGTTTGTGCATGCAACATTACCCTGCATGTGTGTGTGTGTGTGTGTGTATGTATGTATGTATGTATGTATATATATATATGTATATATATAGTATGCATATATATATACACACACATATATATGTTGTGTTGAATATATTACAATTAAAGAACTAAAAGAATCCAATAACAGTATAGTCTCAGACTACTTTAAGTTGCTGTCTTTTAAGAATAATATTTTCTCAAAAAACCCTTTTACAAAAGTAAAATTCAAAAACGTTTCCTAATGAGTAAGTTAACAGTCACCTATGTGGTAAGTACAAGTTGTCAGACTGGCTAAGGTGAGGGAGGACATATTACTTTAAAGACTTAAGGAGGTTTCAGTATTCTTCACTTAAGGTGCAAAGATTGTTCATGCAATTTCAGGCTTCTTTAGTGGGATCTACCTTATGCAAGATCTCATTTATTTCTTCTTTTAAGTATTAATAGAGACATTGTAAATTGCCACTTCCAGTCTTACTAGGTAGTTGATCTGACTCTGTTTATTTAAAATGGTACACACTAATATGGTGCTTAGGTTGAAATTTCATGACTGGGATTTTGCAAAGTGTTTTATTATTATTATTATTATTATTATTATTTTGTTATAAAAAATAATTGTGCAGATTCTGTAAACTAGCTTACTCTTTTTTTTTTTTTGGGCAATTTTAATGTCTGCTTTTGAGAAAGTACTGGTCACTAAAGACAAATGCACACGAATGCCCATACACTTGCTGATGTAGACTGTGTTGTTGTCAGTACGCACATTCATGTTACCCTTCAGGAGGTGCAAGAAA